GTACTGCCCAAGAAGAGTGACGTAGCTGAAACGGTGAAGACCGATTGGTTGCCGATGGTGGAGCGGCAACAAGACCGACTTGTGAAGGCGATTCGCACTGACCGTGGGGGAGAGTTCCTGAGCAAGGATTTCTCAACTTGGCTGAAGAATCAGGGCATAAGGCACTCTCTTACCATGCCCTACTCTCCTGCAATGAATGGCATCACCGAGCGTGCGAATCGGACACTCACGGAGACGGCTCGGGGACTTCTCATTGAAGCCGGTCTACCCAATTTCTTTTGGCCGGATGCGGTGCGGCATGCTTGTGTGGCCAAGAACAGAGCCTTGACTGATGTGGGAGAAGACAAATGGGTGCCCTATGTGGAGTGGATTGGAAGGAAGCCGAAGGTGGATATGCTTCGGGTGTTCGGGTGCATGTGCATGGCACTTGTGCCTAAGAAACTTCGGCACAACAAGCTTGATGCCAAGGCAACATGGGCCGTGCACCTGGGCATGGCCCAAAACAGCAAGGGATGGCTTCTATGGGACCCATTTACCAAGAAGTTCCTGGTGAGCAGAGATTGCAAGTTCATGGAGAACTTACCGTACAAGGAGTGGAAGGCGGAGAACCAAGCGAAGATTGGTGTGCGGCTTGGAGAGGTGAAGAGGACCGGCTTGGAGCATGTGGAGCTGCCCTTGGAGCTGAGTAGCAGCAGCACAATCACGAGGCAATCTCCCCAAATGAATGGGGATGAGGAGGAGGAGGAGGTGCAGCAAGATGATGAGCGTGCACCGTCACTTCCGTCTCGTGCTACAAGTGCTCTTGGGAACCGACCAGATTTACCGCAACGCCATGAGAGCATCCAAGTCCCTGCAGCAGAGGAGGAAGGAAGGGAGAGAAGGAGGACTCAGCCCCTCAATAGGTTGAGCTATGAACGGCTTGGAGGACCAGCCAACTCAACCTTGACCGGTTCGGCTCTCATGCTAGGTGATGATGCGGAAGATGAAAGCGAGGAGTGCGCTTTTGCCTTCTTCTCTCCGGTGGAGATACCGGGGGAGCCTACAAATCCCAAGGAGGCTTGGGAGGGCCCCAATGGGAAGGAGTGGAAGAAGGCCTCAGATGAAGAAATGGGGAGCATCATCGAGAACGACACGTTTGACTTGGTGAACCTACCTCCGGGGCGTAAGGCGATTTCTTCCAAGTGGCTCTTCAAGCGCAAGACCGACGCCGACGGCAACATTGAGCGCTACAAGAGCAGACTTGTAGCCAAGGGGTACCAGCAGCAGGAGAAGGACTACAATGAAGTATATGCTCCTGTGGTGAAGGGTACAACCCTTCGAACTCTCTTCGCCGCGGCGGCCATCAAAGGATGGGTGGTGAAGCAAATGGATATTGTAACGGCCTTCCTCAACGGCGTTTTGGAGGAAGAGACCTACATGGAGCAGCCAGAGGGGTACAATGATGGGAGTGGCAGAGTGTGGAAGCTGAAGAAAGCACTCTATGGCCTCAAGCAAGCCCCTAGGCAATGGTACATCAAGCTGCGGGAAGTCTTGGAGGCGATCGGCTTCACTCCCTCAACGGCCGATCAATCGTTGTTCATGCTTGGCGAGGGGGAGCAGAGGAGCTTCATGGTGGTTTATGTGGATGACATCCTCATATTCTCACCCTCTTCTGACCTTGTGAAGGAGGTGATGCTGAAGCTTCAAGACAAGTTCAAGTGCAAGACCCTTGGTGACGTCAACTACTACCTTGGGCTTCACATTGAGCGAGATGTGGAGAAGCAGTGGATGCGAGTGCATTAAGAGAAGTACTTGGAGGCCTTGGCTGCAAACTTTGGAAATAGTGAAGGTCATGTGGCTACTCCTCTTCCCTCAGGGTTCAAGTGTGTGAAAGGACCAGCGGAGGAAAGTGTTGGTGAAGAGGAGAGGCGGCGTTTTCACTCATTATAGGCACATCTAAGCCAATTGTGACTATAACAGCGGGGAGGAGAGCGAGCCGACACGACCATCTGGCGCCGAATAACAAGCCCCCCATGCATGGTCGCTAGCATCCATGTACATGACCGTGTCGTACAAATGCGGGTTGTGGAAGTGGGCGCCGTTGAAAACGTCCAAATGTGTAAGCCAAAATCGCAGCTCTTCAATAGACTCAGGGGTTAGGAGAATGGCCGCCCCCCATGAATGGCATTCGGCGATCTGCGTGAGAAGGTGGTGGGAGAAGGCTCGCGCGACAGTGCCAAGTGCCAAGGACATAGAGGCCAACATGCCAGTGATGTGGGCAGCGCGGTGAACAGGGATGCGATGCCCGTTAGCGCTGAGTGCGCATAATTCATCCAGCTCGGCAGAAACTCAGCTGCGCCGATCCGCATCGACAGAGAATGTGGTGGTGCGTGTGTTTAGCAAGATCCCCCAAGAACTTTAGAGATTGTGCCGGCAGGAGATGTGATTTTTTTTTATTCACAACGAAGCCTTGGGCTGCGAGGTCGGCGAAAATTATGGAGCGATTGTGCTATGCCTCCGTTTGAGTGGCACTGATGAAAAGGATATCATCGACTTATGAAATAAGGCGAATGCCACAGCTATGCCATCGTTTGGAGAGTTGCTTCATTAACTGGGTAAACACAAATGGCGCTGTAGCCAGCCCGAAAGGCAAGGATAGGAATTGGTAGTCCTGCCCTTGCAGAGAGAATACGAGAAACCGCCAAAAGGCGGGGTGAATGTCGACATGGTGGTATCCGGGTTTGAGATTGATCGTGAATAGCCAATCGCCTTCTTGCACCAAATCAGGAACGAGAGTAAAAAATTTGCATAAAAAACAAGGTACTGAGAGGAATGAGTTAACATGCCGCAAGTCCAATATAAGCCCCGTTTTAGAGGGCTGGACAATCACGTCTAACGGGCTAACGCATGTAAGGGTAGCGGAAGGAGGTACGACCCGAGCTGTGTCGGTGGCGAGAAGCTCGGCCACTGCATCTACTGCAAAAGAGGTGAATTGCACAGCACCAGCATGTTTCTTAGTACGAGACGGAGTAGGCTCAGGTGCAACCCATGGTAGGCGATAGCCAGATGTAATCACCGATAGAATAAACCGACCGACGCACCAGGCGGACCACCATGCAGCGCGGTCTCAGAGGCGGCCTTGCATGCGGGTAATCTTGGATGCGTAATCGGCATAGGCCGAAATGGTTCCCCGAGCTCTGGTAGGAGAGGGAACACAGAAAGGGACGGGAGAGAATAAGGAATGTTCTTCACCACATTTTGTTCCGAGAGCAACAAGTAAGGTTTCTTTCCTTTTTTTTTTTTTTTTTTTTTTTTTTCAAGGGAAGGAACGCAAACGCTTATTATATAGGTTCCCGCAAGGTAGGGGGAATTCAGCAAGCTAGGGTTGATTCAACCAGGAAGGGGGGATTCAGCAAGGAAGGGGGGATTTCAGCAAGATAGGTGTGATTAATCAAGGTAGTAGAAATTCAGCAATGTAGGGGAGATTCAGGGTATGGTAGACTAAGCAAGGTAGGAGTGCTGAAACGAGGTAGGGGGAATCCAGCAAGGTAGTGGGAATTCAGCAAGGTAGTGGGAATTCAGCAAGATAGGCATAATTTAGCAAGGTAGGGATGATTCGGCAAGGTGGGGGAGATTCAGCAAAGTAGGGATGATTAAGCATTGTAGGAATAATTAATCAAGGTAGGGGTGATTATTCAAGGTAGAGGGAATTCAGCAAAAGGGTGGGAGTTCAGCAAAGTAGGGGTGATTAAGCAAGGTGGGGGTGATTAAGCAAAGTGGGGGTGATTCAGCAAGATAGGGGGGATTCAGCAAGATAAGGGGAATTCAGCAAGGCAGGGATGATTAGGCATCCTAGAGATAATAAATCAAGGTAGGGGTGACTGAGAAAGAGGGTGGGAATTCAGCAAGATATGGAGAAGGTATGGGTGATTAAGCAAGGAAGGGGGGATTCAGCAAGGGAGGGGGGAATCAGCAAGGTATGGGTGATTAAGCAAGGGAGTGTGAATTCAGCAAGGTAGGGGTTCTTCAGCAAGGTAGGGGTGATTTAGCAAGGTAGGGGTGATTAAGCAAGGTAGGGGTGATTAAGAAAGGGAGGAATGATTCAGCAAGATAGGGAGAATTCAGCAAGGGTGGGGTGATTAAGGAAGGTAGCGGGAATTCACTAAGATAGGGAGGATTCAGCAAGGTAGGGGGAATTCAGCAAGATAGGGGGAATTTCAGCAATATAAGGGTGATCAAGCAAGGTTGTGGAAATCCAGCAAGGTAGGGGCGATTAAGCGAGACAGGGAAAATTCAGCAAGGTAGGGGGGGTTTGGGAAGAGAAGGGGAATTCAGCATGGTAGGGGTGATTAATGCTTGGTAGGTGTTATTAGTCAAGGTTTGGGAGACTAAGCAAGATACGAGTGCTGAAACAAGGTAGGTGGAATTCAGCAAGGTAGTGGAAATCCAGCAAGGTAGGCGTAATAAAGCAAGGTAGGGGTGATTCAGCAAGGTGGCAGGGATTCAGCAAGGTAGGGATGATTAAGCATCGTAGGGATGATTAAGCAAGGTAGGAGTGATTCAACAAGGTGGGGGTGATTAAGGAAGTAGGGGGGATTGTTATAATCACAATCGGCTTAGATGTGCCTATAATGAGAGATAGAGAGCACAGTCGGATTTCCGTCAGACGGCTTCAAATATTGATAACGATCTGGTGACTGAATCAAACGGTGATCTGTAAGTTGGATCTAGAGCGCGTTGCTGTCTTCTATCAGCAGCAAATTGAATCATGAAATTCCATGAAGATTTTATGATGCTATGGCGGTTTGACTGGCAGGGGGTATAGCAGCCACTATAGTCTTAGGAGTACAAACTTAGCAAGAAGAGTTCGAGAGGGAGATGGTTCCCAGCCTCTACATACCCCAAGAGCTGAGGTCCAGGTTGGTGGTACACCACCACAGAGTCCCCAACCATGAAGAGTCTCGAAACCAACCCTCCAAGGGGCTACACCAAGTGAAATGTAACACTACACGAAGTAATGTTACTATTTTCACTATTTAATATTTATCCGCGTCCCTTGGGCTTGAAATCTTGAGCTCTTGTTCTTGGATCTGCAAGATAAATTCTTCTTGAGTTGATGGGGGCTTGCTGCACACACATGCGATACGATGGACACTTCACACTCGACAAAATAGAAAAAAAACACATGCGACACGCAAACGACGACTTGACATGCAAGTTGTAAAAACTCGCTAATGTCTTGACCGACACAAGCCACATTGTGATACACCATTCAAACACACACACATGCACTGGATAGCAATGACATAGACTCACAATACATTCCATGCCATGCATGCACACACACAAATAAGGACAACAAGCCGAGTGCAAGCCATAGGGTTGCACCAACAAACTCCCCCTCGGATTGTTGGCCTTAGAATCTGCTCCCCTTAGTTCAGAGCCATCCCAGCAAGCTTGCAACACTTCCAATGCTACTGCTCAACCAGCCTCTTGGTCATCATATCAGCAGGCTGCGCCGTCGTCTTCACGTAGTGCAACTCCACTTCACCCGCGGTTACCATGCTCCTCACCCAATGCCACTTCACCTTCATGTGCTTGGTAAGGCCATGAAGAACGGGGTTCTTAGCCAATGCAATAGCACCCTGGCTATCACAGTAGAGTGGGGTAGGTCCTTGCTGCTCCTCCCCCAATTCAGCTAGCAAACGCCGCTGCCACACAACCTCTCTTATGGCACGGAAGAGTGCCATGTACTCGGACTCCACCGAGCTCAATGCTTGGTCCACTTGCTTCTTGCTCTCCCAAGCTGTTGGCCCTCCACCAACACAGCAGATGAAGCCTCCCACACTTGTCATGTCCTCTGGTTCTGATGCCCAAGATGCATCAAAGAAGGCGGTGAGAAAGAGCCTCCCAGGTTCGACTCCATCCGCACCCTTTTGACGCCTTTGTGCCGCCGCGGAGTATTGCAGTCCAACAGTTGCTGTTTGGCCAAGATACTTGGCCACCCTCTCTCCAGCAGCTACCTGCTCTTCATTAGGGCATTGGCCAACCCTAGCAAGCTGCCCGGTAGCAAAGGCTGCATCCGGCCTTGTGTGAACGGCCGCATATATGAGGCTGCCCACCAAGGAGTGAAAACGGCGCCTCTCCTCTTCACCAACACTTTCCTCCACTGGTCCTTTCACACACTTGAACCCTGAGGGAAGAGGAGTAGCCACGTGACCTTCACTCTTCCCAAAGTTTGCAGCCAAGGCCTCCAAGTACTTCTTTTGATGCACTCGCATTCACCGCTTCTCCACATCTCGCTCAATGTGAAGCCCAAGGTAGTAGTTGACGTCACCAAGGGTTTTGCACTTGAACTTGTCTTGAAGCTTCAGCATCACCTCCTTCACAAGGTCAGAGGAGGGTGAGAATATGAGGATGTCATCCACATAAACCACCATGAAGCTCCTCTGCTCCCCCTCGCCAAGCATGAACAACGATTGATCGGCCGTTGAGGGAGTGAAGCTGATCGCCTCCAAGACTTCCCGCAGCTTGACGTACCATTGCCTAGGGGCTTGCTTGAGGCCATAGAGTGCTTTCTTCAGCTTCCACACTCTGCCACTCCCATCATTGTACCCCTCTGGCTGCTCCATGTAGGTCTCTTCCTCCAAAACGCCGTTGAGGAAGGCCGTTACTATATCCATTTGCTTCACCACCCATCCTTTGATGGCCGCCGCGGCGAAGAGGGTTCGAAGGGTTGTACCCTTCACCACAGGAGCATACACTTCATTGTAGTCCTTCTTCTCTTGCTGCTGATACCCCTTGGCTACAAGTCTGCTCTTGTAGCGCTCAATGTTGCCGTCGGCGTCGGTCTTGCGCTTGAAGAGCCACTTGGAAGAAATCGCCTTACGCCCCGGAGGTAGGTTCACCAAGTCAAACGTGTTGTTCTCGATGATGCTCCCCATTTCTTCATCTGAGGCCTTCTTCCACTCCTTCCCATTGGGGCCCTCCCAAGCCTCCTTGGGATTTGTAGGCTCCCCCGGGATCTCCACCGGAGGGAAGAAAGTAGAAGCGCACTCCTCGCTTTCATCTTCCGCATCATCGCCTAGCATGAGGGCCGAACCGGTCAAGGTTGAGTTGGCTGATCCTCCAAGCCGTTCATAGCTCAACCTTTTGGGGGGCTGAGTCTTCCTTTTCCCCCTTCCTTCCTCCTCTGCTGCAGGGACTTGGATGCTCTCATGGCGTTGCGGTAAATCTGGTCGGTTCCCAAGAGCACTTGTAGCACGAGACGGAAGTGACGGTGCACGCTCATCATCTTGCTGCACCTCCTCCTCCTCTTCCCCATTCATTTGAGGAGATTGCCTCGTGATTGTGCTGCTGCTACTCAGCTCCAAGGGCAGCTCCACATGCTCCAAGCCGGTACTCTTCACCTCTCCAAGCCGCACACCAATCTTCGCTTGGTTCTCCGCCTTCCACTCCTTGTACGGTAAGTTCTCCATGAACTTGCAATCTCTGCTCACCAGGAACTTCTTGGTAAATGGGTCCCATAGAAGCCATCCCTTGCTGTTTTGAGCCATGCCCAGGTGCACGGCCCATGCTGCCTTGGCATCAAGCTTGTTGTGCCGAAGTTTCTTAGGCACAAGTGCCATGCACATGCACCCGAACACCCGAAGCATATCCACCTTCGGCTTCCTTCCAATACACTCCACATAGGGCACCTATTTGTCTTCTCCCACGTGATTCAAGGCTCTGTTCTTGGTCACACAAGCATGACGCACCGCATCCGGCCAAAAGAAATTGGGTAGACCGGCTTCAATGAGAAGTCCCCGAGCCGTCTCCGTGAGTGTCCGATTCGCACGCTCGGCGATGCCATTCATTGCAGGAGAGTAGGGCATGGTAAGAGAGTGCCTTATGCCCTGATTCTTCAGCCAAGTTGAGAAATCCTTGCTCAGGAACTCTCCCCCACGGTCAGTGCGAATTGCCTTCACAAGTCGGTCTTGTTGCCGCTCCACCATCGGCAACCAATCGGTCTTCACCGTTTCAGCTACGTCACTCTTCTTGGGCAGCACATACACCCAGGTCATGCGAGTGTAGACATCCACAGTTGTGAGGAAGTACTCTGCTCCAGCAGCTCCAAGCTTCAAGGGGCCCACCACATCCATCACCACCTCATCAAGTGGTGCCTTCGCCGTTGTCTCCGAGCTATGGAACGGGTAGCGGGTGAACTTGGCTTGCATGCATGTTGGACAGCCAAGCACCTCATTGGGCTCCCCCTTGACACGTATCCCACTGACCATCTCTTGCTTAACAATCTGCTGCAAAATGGGCAATGCCACATGCCCCATTCGCCGATGCAAGGTCAGCCAATCACACTCTCCCGTAGCAGAAGTCGGGTTGGAGAAAGCGGCACTCGCAATCGTGCCCCACAAGCTCTCTCCTTTCTCCTTCGCCTCTGCTGCTTTGCTGATCTTAGGCTTCTCCTCCTCATTTCCACCACCTTTGGCTGCTGCACCACTCTCCTTGGGTTCACACGCCTTGCTGGTCTCTCCAAGGTTGCACTCCTTCGAGTCACTTTTGGTGTCACTTTGTTTTCCGTGATCACCGCCACCAACCGCTTCACTCTTGGTGCTGACGCTTGCTGCCACTTGCCTCCCTTTAGGCATGGGGACCACTGGGATTTGCCACATCTCATTGTAGATGTCCCTGTCCTCATGAAGGTCCCAAAGCTTCCGCTCACCAAGCCTCGCGGTATAGGTTTTGGAACCCTTGGAAGATGTGTCCATGCCGGCCTTTTGCAAACGCCGAACAGAGATCAGGTTGGCTGCTAGGTTGGGCACCCAAAGCACGTTCTTGAGGCCCATCATCTTCCCATCAGCACCCTTGAACATGCCTTGCCCATGCCTTCACCTCTGCTCGCTGCCCCAAAGCCGATGTAACATGCTTGACCGGCGACGGTTCGAGTTCGGTGAGCAAGTCCGCACGAGGTGTCATGCTGTAGGTGGCGCCGCGATCGATCACCCAAAAGTCCAGAGAGTGAAGGGTGACCTTTCCCACAGTAGCTGGCTCCTCAAAGCCTTCTAAACCTCCTGCTGCAGCTGCCGCTTGCGTGGAGACAAAGAAGAATTGGCCCGGGTATCGATCTTCACTCGAGTCCTTGTCGTAGTCTCCACCTTTCATGCTTGCCGCTTCGCCTCCATGACCTCTGCCTCTTCCTCCCCTTGCTCCTCTTCCCTCTTGGCCTTGAGAAGGGGTCCAGCCATCAGGTAGTTTGAAGCAATCTCTCCACATGTGGCCGGTCTTGTGGCAAAAGTGGCATTCGCCTTCAAATCGACTGCCATATCCTCCATTACCACGGCCTCCATTGAAGTTACTGCTGCCAAATCTGCCTCCTCGCCCTCTGCCCCTTCCACGGCCGTGCCCACGGCCCATGCTTGCAACTCCGGCACCATCGGAACCCGCCAATTCGCGACGGCGGAAATCTTCTTGTAAGATTTCCCGCTTCACATCTTCGAGTGAGAGACGGGGCAGATCTCGATTTAGGTTGATGATGAGCGAGGACCATGAGTCCGGAAGTAAGGCCAGCAGCTTGGTCTTCTTTTGAAGGTCACTGTAGTTCAGATCAGCTCCTTCGAGCCGTGTCAACAAGTCGAAGAATTTCTGCACTCCTTCCTCCACCGGTTCGCCTTCGTCAATTCGAAGTGCCGCCATTTGCCGCTCCAAAACCACGGCCACCGCCGCTGTTGCAGGAGCGTGTACACCCTTGAGAGCAGCCCATGCCTTTGGTCCCTTTGCTGGTTCACACTGAAAAGGCTTGATGTGACGGATTTGGCTGCTCCCCAACGCTTGCCCAAGTAGAAGGTAGCCTTGTGCGCTCTTCCGCACCCACGGGCTCTTCTCCGGGTCGTTCTCGGGGCGCTTCTCCGTTCCTTCCATCACCTCCAGCAGATCATAGTGGTCAAAGATGTTCTCCATCTTGAAGGACCACTCAGCAAAGTTGTCACCGTTGAACTTGTCAAGGCCAAACACTCTAGGCTCATCCCTAGAGGGTCCAAGGCTAGGTTGCACCGGAGCAACGGGTGGATCTTGGTGTTGACCTTGTGCTTGGGCGTCTCCGCTGCCTCCAGCACCTCTGCCACCCCCTTCCTCAGGTCTAGGCATGGTCGAGATGGCTCCAAGGTGCTCTGATACCACTTGTTATAATCACAATAGGATTAGATGTGCCTATAATGAGAGATAGAGAGCATAGTCGGATTTCCGTCAGACGGCTTCAAATATTGATAACGATCTGGTGACTGAATCAAACGGTGATATGTAAGTTGGATCTAGAGCGCGTTGCTGTTGTCTATCAGCAGCAAGTTGAATCATGAAATTCCATGAAGATTTGACGACGCTATGGCGGTTTGACTGGCAGGAGGTATAGCAGCCACTATAGTCTTAGGAGTACAAACTTAGCAAGAGTTCGAGAGGGAGATGGTTCCCAGCCTCTACATACCCCAAGAGCCGAGGTCCAGGTTGGTGGTACACCACCACAGAGTCCCCAACCATGAAGAGTCTCGAAACCAACCCTCCAAGGGGCTACACCAAGTGAAATGTAACACTACACGAAGTAATGTTACTGTTTTCACTATTTAATATTTATCCGCGTCCCTTGGGCTTGAAATCTTGAGCTCTTGTTCTTGGATCTGCAAGATAAATTCTTCTTGAGTTGATGGGGGCTTGCTGCACACACCTGCGACACGATGGACACTTCACACTCGACAAAATAGAAAAAAAAACACATGCGACACACAAACGACGACTTGACATGCGAGTTGTAAAAACTCGCTAATGTCTTGACCGACACAAACCACATTGTGATACACCATTCAAACACACACACATGCACTGGATAGCAATGACATAGACTCACAATTCATTCCATGCCATGCATGCACACACACAAACAAGGACGACAAGCCGAGTGCAAGCCATAGGGTTGCACCAACAGGGATTTAGCAAGATAGGGAGAATTCAGCAAGGTAGGGGGGATTCAACAAGAATGGTGGGATTCAGCAAGCTATGGATGATTAAGCAAGGTAGTGGGAATTCAGCAAGATAGGGGTGATTAAGCAAGGTAGGGGTGCTTACCCAAGGTAGGGGTGATTCAGAAAGGGAGGAATGATTCAGCAAGATAGGGAGAATTCAGCAAGGTTTGGGTGATTAAGGAAGGTAGCGGTGATTCAACAAGATAGGGGGAATTCAGCAAGGTAGGTTTGATTCAACAACAAAAGGAGGATTCAGCAAGGTAGGGGAGATTCAGCAAGATAGAGAGAATTCAGCAAGGTAGGGGAGATTCAGCAAGATAGGGAGAATTCAGCAAGGTAGGGGGGATTCAGAAGGTAGGGTTGATTCAACAAGAAAGGGGTGATTCAGCTTGGTAGAGGGGATTCAGCAAGGTAGGGATGATTAAGCAAGTTAGGGGTGATTACTAATGGTAGGGTTGATTGAGCAAGGAAGGGGTGATTTATCAAGGTAGTGGAAATTCAGCAAGGTAGGGGAGATGCAGCGAGATTTGGATAATTCAGCAAGGTAGGGGGGACTCCGCTAGAGAGGGGGAATTCAGAAAGGTAGGGGTGATTAATGCTAGGAAGTATGGGAGACTATGCAAGGTAGGAGTGCTTAAACAAGGTATTGTGTATTCAGCAAGGTAGTGGGAATTCAGCAAGGTAGGGGAGATTCAGCAAGATTTGGGGAATTCTGCAATTTTTGTGTGATTAAAGCCCGAGTCTAGAATGGTTTGCTATCAAGTTCAGGAATCCTGAACTTGTTTTCATCCAATAGAGGGTAACGTAGTAAATGCCGTTTGAATGTCGCAACTCTCAGGGAACAAGGGGCAGCTTGCGAATGCAGCTGAAAGGGACAAACCCGCAATTACTGTTCATCTCAGTATTCTTGATTTTCGCCGGAGACCATTATGAACGCATTTTTGTGGGGGTCTCGTGTCACTGTTCGTTCCCCCCCTTCCCCCGCCCCCCACACACTGTTCATGCACTGTTGAACTCTGTTCTTGCCGATGAAATTCCGTGCTACGATCATGGTTCTGCTATTTCGCCAAATTCTGTATTCGTCTGGGGAACTTTGCCGAAATTACTTTTGCCCAGTTCTTTTCGCACCGTTTTCATGCCCAGTATTCATGGTTTTTAACCATTCTAGACTCGTGCTTTAAGCAATGTAGGAGTGATTAATCAAGGTAGGTGTCACTAAGCAAGGTAGGAGTGACTAGAAAAGGTAGGGGGAATTTAGCAAGGCAGTGGGAATTCAGCTAGGTAGGGTTGGTTTAGCAAGGTAGGGGTGATTCAGCAAGTTCGGGTAGATTAAGCAACATAGCGGGAATTTAGCAAGGTATGGTAGGGGTGATTCAGAAAGGGAGGGGGGATTCAGCAAGATAAAGAGAACTCAACAAGGCTGGGGAGATTCAAGGAGATAGTGCGAATGGAGCAATTCAGGGGTGAATATGGAAAGTTGGGATGACTCAACAAGATAGGGAGAATTCAGCAAGGTAGGGGTGGTTAAGGAAGGTAGCCGGGACTCAGCGAGATAGGGAGAATCCAGCAAGGTAGGGGGGACTCAGCAAGGTACGGTTGATTCAACACGGAAGCGGGGAATCAGCAAGGAAGGGGGTATTTAGAAAGATAGGGGTGATTATTCAAGGTTGGGGTGATTAATAAAGGCAGGGGTGATTGAGCAAGGAAGGGGTGATTCAGCAAGGTACTGGAAATTCAGCAAATTAGGGGAGATTCGGCGAGATAGGGAGAATTCAGAAAGGTAAGGGTGATTAATGCTAGGTAGGGGTTATTAATCTCTGTATGGGAGACTAAGCAAGGTAGTATTCCTTAAACAAGGTAGGGGGGATTCAGCAATGTAGAGGTAATTCAGCAAGGTATGCACAATTATGCAAGGTAGGGGTGATTCAGCAAGGTATGGTTGATTAAGCAATGTAGTGGGAATTCAGCAAAAGGGTGGAAATTTAGCAAGATAGGGAGAAGGTAGGGGTGATTAAGCAAGGAAGGGTGGATTCAGCAAGGTTGGTGGGATTCAGCAAGGTATGGATGCTTAAGCAAGGTAGTGGGAATTCAGCAAGATAGGGGTGACTAAGTATGGTAGGGGTGATTAAGCAAGGTAAGGGTGATTAAGAAAGGGAAGGATGATTCTGCAAGATACGGAGAATTCAGCAAGGTAGGGGGGATTCAGCAAGGAGGGGCTGATTCAACAAGGATGGGGGGACTCAGCAAAGTAGGGGGGATTCAGCAAGAATGGGGTGATTAAGCAAGGTAGGGGTAATAAATTAAAGTAGAGGAGATTGAGCAAGGTAGGAGTGATTAAGCAAGGTAGGGGTGATTAAGAAAGGGAGGGATGATTCAGCAAGATAGGAAGAATTCAGCAAGGTCGTGGGGAATCAGCAAGGATGGGTTGATTCAACAAGGAAGGGCGGATTCAGCAAGGTAGGGGGGATTTAGCGAGGCAGGGGTGATTAAGCAGGGTAGAGGTGGTTATTCAAGGTAGGGGTGATTGAGAAAGGTAGGGGTGATTAAGCAAGGTAGTGAAAATTCAGCAAGGTAAGGATGATTAAAGCCTGAGTCTACATTGGTTAGCTATCAAGTTCAGGATTCCTGAATTTGCTTTTGTAAAAGTAGGGGTAACCCAGTGAAGGGGACCATCACGTTGCGACCCTTGGGGAAATGGGCAGCGTGCAAAATTCGCTATATGAGACAAATCTCAAACTTTCTGTTCACTCATACTGAAGGTGAAAACGACCGGTACCATTCTAGACGCATTTTTAGCCGAGACTCGCTGCACGGGAAAGGCTTTGTACAGTTTGGCCCCCCACCCCCTAAGTCGTCACTGTTTGCGCACGGTTGATTACAAGTTGTTGGGTTCCTTTTGTGTCGCGAGCGACCCTTTTTTTTTCGCTGAGAAGTATTTTTTGCCAGAGGAGCTTTGCTGAAGTTGTTTTCGTCCAGTGTTTTTGGCACTGTTTCCATGATCAGTAAACATGGTCTTTTACCATTCTAGACTCGGGCTTTAAGCTCGTAGGGATGATTAATCAAGATAGGGTTGATTAAGCAAGGTAGAGGGAATTCAGTGAAGGGGTGGGAATTCAGCAAAGTAGGGGTGATTAGGCAAGGTAGGGGTGATTCAGCAAGGTAGGAGTGCTTAAACAAGGTAGGGGGATTTCAGCAAGGTAGTGGGAATTCAGCAAGATAGGGGTAATTACGCAAAGTAGGGATGATTCAGCAAGGTGATAGGGATTCAGCAAGGTAGGGATGATTAAGCATTGTAGTGATGATTAATCAAGATAGGGTTGATGAAGCAAGGTAGATGGAATTCAGCAGAAGGGTGGGACTTCAGCAAGGTAGGGGTGATTAAACAAGGTAGGGGTGATTAAGCAAGGTAGGGGTGATTATGCGAAGTAGGGTTGATTTAGCAAGGTAGGGGTGATTAAGCAAGGTAGGGGTGATTAAGAATGGTAGGGATGATTCCGCAAGATAGGGA